CTTTCTTATGCAACACAGGCCCACCTGCCCAGGGGTGGCACCACCCACAGTGGGCTGGGCCCTCCCACATCACACATCAAGAAGATGCCCTTCAGACATGGCCACAGGCCAGTCCAATAGAGGCAATTTCCCGATTGAGGCTCCCTCAACCCAGGTGTGTCAAGTTGACACTAAAGCTATCCAGCACAATATGCCACCTTTTTTGACTTTCAAGTGCCATGACGTGGCCATGGCAGATCAGCGACAGCTCTGTTTGCTTGCAGTGCTGGGGGAGTATGTTTGCTTGCCTGGTGTTGAGGGGCATCCTGCTCTATACTGGGTGCCCCTTGTGCCCTCTCTGGCTGCTGTGATCGCTAAGCCTTTAATTATTTTGGTGGCAAACAGAAAGTGAATTTGGGTCTTTGGACAGCAGTCGTCTGGCCTGAAAGCAGCAGTGAGCATTGATGAAGCTGATTTTCAGTCTGGAGGTGGACAGGGGCCCAAGGCCTGAGCTGTCTTCACTCTGTTGCCATTCTAAACACTGTTTTATATGGATGGGTTAGGATCCCAAAGAGAGTGGTGATGCAGCTCTGTCCCAGAAGATGCCAAGCAGTCCCTGGGTACCCTCAGCCTCCTGGATGCTCACCCTGAGCAGCAGGGATGGAGGACAGCACACCATCCAGGCAGACACTGTGTTGCCCTCTGAGGGGCCGGAACATGGAACAGATATTCCCTGCCGGAGTCCTTCCTGGTCTCATGGTCCAAATCAGTCTCCTGTGGTATGTTACTATGAATCTGTTAAAAGTTAAAACATCTTGAGACTTACATGTGATCATTCTGTATAAAGCCCAGCTTTTGAACTAAATTTCTCTGGATTTTGAACTTTTGTAGGTATACCTGTACCTTCTTCATTGTATCTAAGAACTTAGAGTTGTGCTGCCTTTGATAGGATGGACATACTGTCATTTTTACCCCTGTCACTGGAACTACCAGGAAACATGACCCTAAACTGCAACTGGGTGTGTGTTTATGTCTCCGTGTCTCCATCCTCAGTCCATAAGCCCAGTCTGAATCCTCCTGACAGCCAAAAATGAGGCTGCTTTGAGCAGTGAAGGGCCTTTCCAGGGTTCCAGACATGGGACAAAGTTGTCTTAGCTCCAGAGTCACCTTTGAGCTTCTATCCTGTCTCTGGCTTGCCGGCATCTGCATTATCTCTCTCCATTGTGGGAGCTTGTGTGTGTGGTCCTAGGTCAGATGACGTACCTTCTAGGAGAATGTGGGCTTCAGGGCACCTGTCCTGGCCCTGCTTTCCCCAGCCAGTCACAGTATGGGGAGAGCCATGGTGGCCCATGGGTTTGTTTTAAAGACATGAATGCATGTGATTGGTCGTTTCATTTAGCAGTGGCAATGGGTGATTCTTCTGTTCCCAAGCCTGGCCACCCATAGTCCATCTAAACACTTGCTTTGGGGGGGGGGGCAGCTTGTCTCTGCAGCCTTCTCAATACTTCCTTCACCCAAATTCATCACTGTAGAAGATCTCCCAAGTATCTATAATTTAGACTGAAACACAGTTACTGAACTCAGCTCCAAGAAATATTGTTTGCACTTGAAGCTCGAAGGACTGAGAATGGTAGTTAAGCATGAATGAAAGGTTTGTTCTGGCTACAGTAACCTGGCTGTAGACAGGGTGATTAGACAGTAGTGAGTCCTTCACAGTTCTGAAGCCACAGTGTGAAATCAGACTTGGCATGGACAGTGTCTTCACACACCCAACTCTGTGGCCTCATGAGGCTGTCCCTCTGGTGTGTCTGTATCGTCTTTATAAGCACACCTTGGTAGTAGGGGTCAGGACTACAACCTGAAAATCTGGGGGACACAGTACAGCTCATATAGAGAGGCACCCAGAGTCACCAGGAGGGAGGAGGAACTTCTTATTGTGTTGACCATATTTTCTGTTTCAAATGATAGTTAGAAAAGGCCATCTGTTTTTTATCGTGCAGCGTAAGTGCGGTACTGAACTATACCCTTGTACACAGATGCCTCTTGAAGACCTGAGTATGAGTATTGACACAGATGTAGACCTGAGGGGCATGGCCTGGAAGGAGGGATCTGGTACCGTTACTCCCTCTTAGTGTGTTTCTGTCATCCTTCTACGTCTGCATTAATACGGTGAGGGCCCTTACAGCTCCGGGTGGGTCTCACCATTACACTGACATTTAGAGGATGACTTCCCCCAATAGGTGATAGTCATTTTCAGGCCTGACCTTCAGCTTTCATCCTTGGCATGTTGTCGTGGCCTGAACCCCAAGGGCCTATGCTTCCTGGGAGCCTTCACAGGGTGTGCTGTTGTGGGGGCTTTGCCTTATTTTTCCACCTCTTCTAACCCTTAAATAAGCTGGGTGCAGGGTTGGAGTCCAGTCCTTGTGTAGGTATCCCTCGGAGCTCTCTTCTAGATCAAGCACTTGCTCTGGCCCTGGACTTAATAGGTCCTGGCTTCTTGTCTTCATCTGATACAGCTCTCAGACCATCCCATGTTCACACCATCAGACCCAGACTGTTGCACACCTGCAGCAGCTGCGCTAGTATATGCCCCATTGCGGAATCTGCCATAAGGGAGCACAGCCCATCCAGCTGTTTGCTGCCATGTAGTTGCATGTGCTAGGCCAGAGCAGTGGTAGCTGCCGTGCCAGCTGTCAAGGGATTTCTGGGCTGGCACGGCTCTCAGAATCAGTGCTAATGGCTTCCTCCATTGAATGTTGTCCAAAAGCAATTGTTCACTTGTTAGAGGCTTGTGCCACACTGTCACACCACTGCCTGAGAGGCAGCCTTGTAGAATGAGGTGCAGCAGCAACCCTGAACTCAGGGGACTGGGTCTCCCCTTTGCCAAAATCTCCACCCCACAGCTCAGAGCAGCTCAGCGTTTGTGAGTGTCTCTTGTGCACACCTTCCCCTTACCTTGGTCACAGTTGCCATTGTCCACCTGCTGCCCTCAGAGAGTGGCTGGACAAATTAGCCTGCCAAGTATAAGCAGTTGAGTCCTGTCCCTTGGGTGACCCACCCACTCTTGCTGGTGTCATTTTGAATGGAGACACCCAGTCAGCCCCTTTGTCTACATACACCGAGGGTAGCCATGACACCAGGTTGGTGTGAGGCTTCCCACCTTGGATTGATGGCTTAGCCGATCATAGCACACACTTTCTTTGTTTGAGTAAGTTGTGGTTTTATTTTGAATAAGCCTCTTTCAACTATTAATATTAGTCTACACCAAAATTAACCTTCCCCTGAGTTACTCTCACACTGAAGGAGCAACGTAATTTTGAAAGTTAAATCAAAACAAAGCAATCTTGTGTGTAAAGCCGATAAAAATCGCAGCCTGTGGTTACACAGCTCCTCTGCAGGAATCGCTGACATAAAGCTGATTTCCTCCCATCTTGTTATGGAAGGAGAAGGGGAAATGCCCTGGCCCCTTGAGCTCCAGAGCTGCGTAAACAGGAGAGGGGAGCTCCCCTTGCAGCTGGTGTCTGCAGGGACCTTTGCAGTCTGAGGGGGACAGATGTCCCAGCCTGATTCATGGCCGGTGGTTCCCAGACGGTGCCTCAGGAGCATTTACCGCCAGAATGAAGGGGGGTTTGTAGGAGGCTGGGGACCATCACGCAGCCAGATCTCATGTGTGAGTTAGTCATTAAGGAAATAACCAGGGCTGCCTTGAATGTGAACTAGGTTGTGGCTCATGGCATTGAAGCAAATGTGCCCCCTTTGGTGCATCTGAATTTACACCTTGTATTTCCCCACAAAGTAAATTAGAACCCAGAAGTGGATGCTCTAGAAGAGGCTGGACTCTGAAATCTTCAAATGAATCCAAGACTCACTTCTGCACAGTTCTGGCTTGTAACAAGCTTATGTCTGTCACCAGCAATGGGGCCTTTTCTTCTTAATTTCTCTTTGCTCCCCAGGCCTTTGTGTGGGAGGGTGGGGTTGAGTCAGCCCTCTGTCTGTGACTGTGGGCACCCCGCCGGGTCACTGTTTATTTTATCCTGCTGTGCCACCCAGAACAGCCAGAGGCACAGCGACACACCACTGCTTCACTTTATTTAGCTTCTTAGGGCAAATTACCCCAAATCACTGCTTTCTCAAGTCAATTACAGATGCCAGAAATCTACCCTCGAGGGAGTCAGCACATCTGAATGTCAGTGAACATAGTGGTTACCAAGTTCATTCGTTATTTTCCTCTGCCCCCTCCCACACCCCAGCCTCTCTTCCCCAGTAGGCTGAGGTGGCTTTGTACAGCACCTATGTGAAGGTTTCCCGAACCGAAGTCGAGGGCTTCTTTGGGAGTACTTTGAAGGTTCTTCTGTGTGCTTTGTCTTCCTGTGTGAAGGAGAATGTGTTTGGTATGCTTGCACTCTGAAATCAGGGGAGATGTAGGTTCTCCTGGGTTGGGTGCTTTCATGAAGGGGTGCTGTCCATGATAGTGGGATTGGTTGCTTCCTACGTATCCCCTCCTCAGATTATTGGGACGTAACTAAGACACTTTGCTTTTATTGTTGCAGGTATTTTTGAATAATTACCAAGCAGATGAAGACCACCCCCAAATGGTTATCTTACAACTGTTACGTTTCATCGTCCGCCTGGTGTGGAGAAGGCATTGATGGGGTCTTTGCACAACCGAGACACATGCAGACATTTCTCTTGTTCAGATCAGCAAGCCCCAGCACTGCAATCTCTCTGTGCCATTACTATGCAGTCAGCTGTTCCATCCCAGAGAGGTGTGCGGAGGGTGAGCGACACACTCAGAAGACACCACACCGTGTCGATGTGAACTTGACCTTACTGTTCACCACCACATGGCAGAATTTCCAATGGAAGTTTGTTGTGAATGTAAATGAGGGAGGAGTCTTCTCTTTTTAATGTACTAATCATGGTTCTTTGGAGCAGGATCATATGCAAGAACGGTGTTTACATGTGGTGTGATTTTTTTTTTTTTCCTTAACCCACTTTTTTTGGTAACAGTCTGTTTTCAGAAAGGAAATGAAAACTTTTTAGCCAACTTGTGGATGGTTTTTATACTAAAAATTTAAGAACCTGTTGCCTACTCTCAGAGGATTATGTAAACCCTGCAGTGGAAACTGAGCCAGCTGATTTATAAAGCTGCCTTAGTTTATTTTTAGAGATAACTGTACAGAATTTAAGCAGGGCAAGTGGGGTGTAATCCTCCCTCCCCTGCCATGGCCTCTTTGAGTTCTTTTTTTATTATATACCAAGAGTTCCTATGAAATAGACTGGACAAAAGGGGCAGAGGGTCTGTTTCGGTATGCCACTCCCGTTTTGTAAATATTTATTTACCTCCTTAGCCCTGTTGTGTCTGTGGCAGAACATCAGACTTTCTCCATATTTTCCTTCATCATCTCTGATGCTCCTCAGTCTGTCTTCATGCTGATTCACGGGTTTGGTCCAGGGTATTTTCATGATGTAATGTGTTTGGGTCAGAGCAAGGGCTAGGGGCTGCCTGGCTTGGGCCAGCTCCGTCAATCAAGCTGACTCACTGGGAAGGGCTTGTGCCCACTTCATTTCTTTTTGTGGCTTTTTTCTCTTAGTTTTCTGAGAGAAGTCATGGCCACAGACTAAGTGGCGGACCCTCTTCACCGTTAGCCCCTCTGGTTGCAGGCTGTCCTGCAGGCTCGGGCTGTATTTTGCCATGAGTACCATATGGTTGGCATGCACCCATGCAGCTAGGCTTGAGTCAGCACCCTTATGGGGATTGGCCAGGTCACTTAGAGGGTGAGGGGTTCGGGTGGCCATTTTACAGGCTTCTTGGCTTCTTCCTGCTCAGGCCGTGAGGCCTGAACTTCATCCCCATTCTTTTGAATCTACTTTCAAATAGAGGCTGTCCCAGCCCCACCAGTACCATAGGAAATCTCCATTGTGTAAAATGGAAACGTCCCTTTCAGTCTCTGGAAGATGACTGGTCTACTTTGCTCTCCCTGTTTTCTTAACAGTTGGATCTTGTTGGGCCATCCATGTCTGGGGTGGGGGGTGCTCTTTCTCAGTACCTGCCCCTTATGACTTCGTACACCAGAAGCCCACACACTGGTCAAGTCATTTCAAGAGCAGACAGGACTGGAGATGTAGCTCTGTGGAGGAGCACTTGCCTAGCATGTGCAAGGCCCTGAGCAGCTCCCAAAAACAACAGTACACAAGTAGGCAAACAACCAGAGAGGAAAAACGGGAGAGGGAGGGGGATTGAACCCTACAACAGCAAACAGCTTTCTAAAAGAAGTGCATGAGTTTTCAAACAGGTTAGCAGTGCCAATGATTGTGTTTGCTTTTCCCTGTAGAGGACCAGTGTTTTTATGTTATTGAGAGAAAAAAACCCATTCACTTGTCTGTTTCTGAGTTGATATGTATGTATGTGCATATGTATATATATATTGCCTATATGCTATTTCCTTTAGGTGGAGATCACTTGATTCCAAATATTCTTCCTTTTTAAACCTCTTTGCCCCAGCCTCTGTTGGATGTTTAATATTTTGAGAGCTGTGTTGGAGCTCAGCTTGTTTCTTGATGTGTCTTGAACCCCCAACTTGCAGCCCACGGCTGTGAGTGTAAGATGGTGTTAGGATTGCAGCCGTGGCCCTGCTAGACACATACACACACCAAAGACATACCTGGTTCTGGGTCATTCTCCCCACCCCCTAGGACCTCTACTCACGTGCCAGTCTCCCCGACTGGAGCACTTTACTGTTTCTTAGCCCTGTGGCTCCGCAGTGCCACCTGGGCAGGCGTAGCAGGCTCTCCGAGCCAGGTGCCAATGGCATGTGCGGCCCCACAAGCATGCTTACCTCTGGCCCATTGGCCTCCAGCCTTGGGCTGGCCATTGAAGCAGCTCATGGGGAAATAAGAGATTCTATGAATTGTAGAAGTATTCAAGGACAGGATGCTGGCACCAGAAGTTAGACATGACTGGATGTGTCTGTACTGTATCTGTTTATCCAATGCCTCCCTGCAGAAAATATGCCTACCCACTGTGGGCAGACCTTTGTACTTTTTAATTTTTATTATTTTTTTAACTTTCTGTAGGACAGAAACTAGACCCCCCCTTTTTTAAACATAATGCGGGTTTTGTGCCTTGACAGCCTCTCCCCATGTGAGGTTTGTAAAAAGTGTCCTGTGACTTCACCAAGATGTAATAAACACACAAAATGACTTCCTGAGTGATTCTTCAGATTTTCTCCCAGAAACAAGTTGGTGGTGGGGGAGGGGGGGGGGGGGGGGGGTGTCAGAGAAACCAGTTTAAAATCCCTCTGATTAAAAAAAAAAAATACATAATGGAATATAATTTTCTCCTGTTTTCTCTTCTTAATATTGTATATATTTTGACTATTTATTAGGTTAGGAAGTCATATTTTACTTATCAACTGAGCCAAATGTCTGTGTGCAATTTTGTTTCCTTTACCTTTCTTGTAAAATTTTGTACAGTATAAATAAGTAAAAATCACTGTTTTTCTAAACTTTTCAGAATTAAGGATTGTAAATATTGTAGATTCTTTTTGTGTGTAATGCGCCCTACTGTTTCATGATGCTGTAACTTGTAGAAGTGTTGTATATTTATTTTCTGCTTATTTAATGTCTTAAGTTCTTGAAAGTGTTGACATCCCTGTCCCCCATACCCCTGCCATCCCATGAATTGCTTCAGCTCCTGAGGTGGGGCCAGTGACTGGGTCTGCTCTCCCAGGGTGTGGCCTCCAGCTTCAGCTCCTGATAGTCAGTTCTTAGATGTTGCTGTCCTTCTGATAAAGTTGGTATTTAGAGATCCATGAGATGCTCTAGATCTGGTAGACTGGCAGATTTGACTCTTAATGAAGCTAGCTTCTCAGAGAAGCAGCTGTACAGACTCTGCCCATGACTTTAAGAAGAAAGAAAAAAAAAGTATTATCAGCAGATGGGAAAGTTGGGTTTTGTAATTGAAAGTGACTATTCAGTGTTGAGAGAAATACAGTCCTGCCACCTCTGAGGGTGCTACAGTGTGGCTGTCCAGGGTAGGCAGGTTGGGTCCTGCTTCCAGAGCATCCTCCAGGACCACGTGACTTCCCAGAATGCTTGCTGGCAAGCGATTGAGCTGCCCCCACCTGCTCTGTGGTCCCTGTGTGTTGGGGTGTGGCTGAACTTCAGGAGCTAGTTGTCCAGCCCCCTCACCTGCTCACTGCATTAGATCAGCCTGCTTCTGCAAGCTCATGCCCTCTGTCCAACTCTCCATTCCCCTTGAGAGAGGCTGGGGGCGCTACTGGGCTGGGTGTGAAGATGAAACAGCTCACAAAGTTCCAAGGACTTCTAGTGACTCGACATAGATGGCTTTGTCCTTCCTGCTGATTTAGCCTGGTGCCTGTGCGTCTGCTCCATATGTGTGTGTGCAGCTTGTGTCCACACATGACGCTAAATCAGTGGGGTCCCACCCCAAACAGCATTGTGTGCAGGAAGCATCCTCAAGCTCCCAGCCAAGAACTTGACTACTTTCATTTGGGAACATAAGTAGCTTGAGTAGGTTTTAACATCCAGGTTCTGTGACCACTGGTTTCTATATCCAAACCCATCAGGTACCCTTTAATAAATAGCACTGATCTTTCTGTATGCTGACCCATCACTAACGTGTTCTGAGGACCCAGCGTATGTAGCATTTGTATTGCAGTTCCCCTGGCTTCCTTGTGTTTTGCACTGATGAATTTTGACAGGGTAATTACCACTTTACTTGTGCAATACTGCTGTAAATAACTGCAGATTTTTTTTTAAGAAACTCAATCTTTTATGTTCTTAATGAATTTTATATAAATAAAACTTTCAACTAGCTTTGGTGAGCTGTTTGTTTTCTTTATAAAATGGCTAAGAAACAGCTGAAGGTACATACATGTATGTGCACCTGTACACCCACCTTGTATCAGAACGTATTAGCTGTGTGTAGATCATATAATCCCTTGCTTGAAGACAGTCTGTGTGGTATACTTAAAAGCAAACCTCACTGTACAGTTTTGAAGTGGCTGGCACGGCTGATGGTGGAACGTCCTGCCCACAGAGTCAACTATGACTCAGTACTTGGGTGGAAGGCTGTTGGGGGAGGGGGTGGGTGGGTCAGGAGCATTACCATGGCCCCGTCTCAATGTAAAAAACAAAAAATGGAAGTCTGGACTAACCAAGGGATTGTCTGTGGCACCTGTTCACACCCCAGTGGCCACCAGCAAGCACCTAGCCTCTGGGTGTAGACAGAATTAGGGATGAGGGAGGAAAATCCAAGCCTAGTTTGGGGGATACAAGTTGTAAAGTCCTTATAAATATGATTTGCCTGGTTGGTTTTGAGGTCAGTCCTGGGAGAGTGCTGAGGTTTTAAACTAAGAATCTATTCATGCTGTTAATTAAGCAAGTAGCACATCAATAGAACTGTAAATTTCATCAACTTATTTCTAATGGCGGTTTGGGTTGCCACCCTCAACCCTCCTCACTGAGGTAGAGTGCATTTTTTCAGAGCCCTTTTCCTGCACCATGGATGTGTGTGCTTACCTTGTGATTTTGCAAAAATGCTGTAACTCTATATCTATGACCCAGCAGTGGTTGGTTCACAGATCTTTCTAGAATGACTCCACTTTATTCTAAGTTCTACATCAGAACAATCTACTCCAGCACCTGCAGACCCTCAAGAATACCCACTCACTCAAGCTCTGTCAGGCAAGGTACCCAGTGTTAGATGACAAGGGAGGTCTTTCTGCTTTAAATTAGACTGCTTCATTCAATAGCTAGGGCGACCTCAGTCATTGTAGGCACTGCCTTTTTATCTGAAGGGTTGTATAATTTTTAGTTAATTTTTTTTCCATTTTCCTATTGATGATCAATTCTTGATATATAGTTATCCTTCAGTCAGTCTGTTGTTTATCTTTTTATTCTCAGCATTTCATTATGAAAAACTTGAAACATCTGGGAAAGTTGGCAGGCTGTGACAAGGCACTTGCTTCCTGGCTTTGACTTAGAACATTTTGCTAAGCTAATATGTATACACAATCCTTGCTTTTAATTTTTTCCCCATTTTATCTTAGTGTATTACAAAATAAGCTATAGTGTACTTATCAGTAACCTTCCTTAGTATTCAACATACATATTATATATTTTTATAGTTCTAGTCCATTCAAGATAAATTTTCCATATGATAAGTCCTTCAGCTCTGGGGGGTGAAGAGATTGCTCAGTGGTTAGGAGCGCTGCTGCTCTTGCAGAGGACCCAAGTTCAGTTCCTAGAACCCATATTGGTCTGCTTGAAGTCCTGTAGCTCCAGGTCCTCCAGCCTCCAGGCACCTGCACACACCACACACAGTCATAAATAAAAATAAATCTTAAGAAAAAAATGCAGAAAATAAAAGGCTCTAGTATTTTCTTACCATCATTTGTCAGCATGTATTAAATTAATATCCCTTTGGATTGTATTGTGTCAGAATGATCTGAAAAACTGCGGTTTGAGCTGCTAATTCGAGTTTCATTTAGAAATTAAATGAATTTTGTACTGGTATTAGAACAAATGTTCCACCAATTTCTAAAAACTGCCATTTTGTATTATGCATTTGTGCAAAGCAGGATCCTCAGCATTGACAGTTACAGAATCAAAATATTAGTCAACTCTGAAAAGTACTGAAGATGTTTTACATTCTGCAGGATTGAATATTGACCCAAGATTTAATTCTTTTTGTAAAATTAAACAAGCACAACTTTCTCTTAAGTCTTCAAATTTGCTTTTGTCTTTAGTGGTAAAATTCTACGTATGACAAAAGTTCTTTAAAATAAATTATGATTTTGTCAGTAACTGATTTGTTTACCTTTTATATGTCTGTGCACCTAGGACTGCATAAAAAATTTCTCAGGCATCATTCTTTCCCTGTGCCATGTCCCTTTTCTGAGCCTTGGACCCAGGCTGGCTCCTATTCTTTCTGCCTCAGATCTCTGGACTATCCTCTTAATCCAGACCCGTCCACTGCATCCTGATCCCTTGCACTCAGATAACTCAATTTTCAACTTAGTGTGTTAGACCCTCTACAGGTTGTCCCCACCCCACCTTGCCCTTCTACCTACCTCAGAAATGCCTGGTCAGATGCCACTCACTGCACCTTAATTCCCCTGCAACCTGAGCAATTCCACTCTCTCTGGGTCCTCCTAGCATTAGGCCCAGGTCCACTCCTGCTCTTTCCACCCCAGATCTCTGGACTAGTCCTTAGTCCAGACCTGCCCACTCCATCCCCATCTCTTGCACCCAGACTAGCTCAATGCTCAAGCTTCATTTGTTAGGCCTTACACAGGCTGCTCCCACCCCTGTCTTGCCCTTGGTCTCCCTCCTGATCTCCTTGCCACAGACCTACCTACTACCCAGATCCACCTACTACCCTGTGAGAACCTGAAGCACTCACCAACTAACTTTTCATACCTGACCAAAAAGCAACCAAGGTACATTAACAATATAAACAGAACCAAACGTCAACAAAACAAAGGAAGAATAGAATTTCCTATTGGGCATACAACCAACAAAACACATCCATATCCAAACGGCAGTGCAAAAGCACAAATAATATGAAAAACCAAGAGAATATGTCCCCAACAAAACCCACCAATACAGAAGTGTACTACAATGAGAATCACCGTGAGGAACCCCATGGTGCAGAATTTTTAAAAAAACGATCATAAATTGGGGCTGGAGAGATGGCTCGGCTGTTAAGAACACTGACTGCTCTTGCAGAAGACTTGGGTTTGAATCCGAGCACCCACATGTCAGCTAACAACTGTCTATAGCTCCAGTTCCAGGAGATCCAACAGCCTCTTCTGTCCTCCCCAGGCATCACATAGCACAGGTGCACTTACCTACATTCAGGCAATACACACATACACATAAAATAAAAATAATAAATAAAATATTTTAAAAACATGACCGAGGAACTTAAAAAACAAAGAACTCAAAAAGGACAGGCATAAAATTGTGACAGAAGCTCAAGAAAACACAAATATGCAGCTGAATGAAATAAAAACAATTTAGGACTTGAAAAGTGAATTCACAAAAGAGATAGAAATATTGAAGAAAATCCATGCCAAAATGAAGATGGAATTGAAAAACTCAGTAAGTCAATTT